CTCTAAACCATGTTGTTTTGCATTGCTGTCGTGTAAATCAGTTTTTAGACAATTACGTAATGATCATCCAATGAAAAACGTTATTATTTCCGAAGATCTTTCAAGAAAAAATGCTAAGATTTTTACTACCGCACGACAAACAGTTCAAAAGAGTAAACGTCATCAAATATTTTCTTCGAATGGTCGCGTATTTTATCGTAATTCAGAAAATCAAGTAATTCATTTAAAAACACTGCTTGATATTGACAAACGTCTTACAGGTATTTGATTAACGTTGTTTTAGTCGGACCTGAATTTAAAAGATCACGGAAAAAACATGCTTTGGATCACGGTTGGCTGAATTGTGAAAAAAAACATGGAAAAGATCCGGGTTACGAAAATAAAAATCTTTTATGCCAAAAACATTATTTTGATCACGGAAAAAAATCTACTTAAAGCTATGTTACGAAAAACATCGTTTAGATCACGGAATTGTTCTAATTGTATAAACTCTTCTCATTTTTTATTTAATTCATACTAGTTTTCTGATGGCTGTGCAACATTATGTATGTTACAAAAAAATGAAGACAAATATAGAAAGATTTGAACCTTAGGTAATGAATGTGTCATTAATCTGTTGATAAAGCTTGTCTTGGTTTTTTTGGACGCCCTTTTGTACGACGCTTGCCAATTGCTTGCGGAATAGGCCGAACCCCACGCAGCATCATGAGTCCAACAGCATGAACACAAGCATATTCCTTCAGACCATATCGACATGTACAAACCGCTGGAGGTACAATACGAGAAAAATTTATTAATCGTGCTGATTGGAGCCATTCTACAAAATTATCGTATGAATTCCATGTCATCGTTTGCAGCAACTGGTACCATAATGAGGTATTTATCCGAGGACTTTTTGCTGGTATAATATCTAAGAGAGAGGGAAAATTATCTTCATTTCAACTTCTTTATATGTATGTAAGAGATATCTGGATGAAGTATCGGATCACACCAAAATTTAAACTAAAACTTGATAATGGTTAACACACATAATAATGCAGCCGTCGACGGTAGGGAGAGCTCTATTAGTATATAGTCTTTTAATATCAGAAATATGTTAGCAACAGCAGGGAAAAGTAATTTAAAAAATTTTTATTTCGTTAGTGAAATATGTAAAAATGAAACACCTTTGGTATTGTCCATTGTTGAGTCATGGCTTAAGCCAAAAAATGATGATGCTGAAGTTTCTATTTCAAATTATTAGTTGTTTCGTAAGAATCGATTGCACAAACGAGGTGGGGGCGTATTAGTTTACATAAGACAAGATCTTGCTAGTATACGTTTATGGAATTTAGAGGACAGTTTCGAATCTTTATTTTTAAAAATCATGTTATCTAATCATAAAAAGATTTTACTCATTGTTGTTTATAGACCTGAATCTACGATAGAGGAGTTTCAAGGTTTTTGTACTTTCATCCATGACTCGATTTCTTCAAAGGTCAATTTATTTGAATATGATGGACTATTCATGACGGGTGACTTTAACGCGCACTGTCATAAATGGTGCCCTACTAAGCCTAGTACACGTGAAGGGGACGACATTTTGGATCTGTTTGCTAGCCTGGGTATTACACAAATGATTAATGAGGTAACAAGGCCTGCTTCAGATACATGCTTAGATTTGTTTGCTACTAATAATGTCTCATTAATAAAAGCGTTTTCTGTTCTACCTCCGGTAATTCTTTCCTGTGATCATTCAGTTTTAAGCATTGTTCTTCAGATAACCTCTGTTAAACAAACTTCATACAAAAGGAAAATCTTTAATTACAAAGGCACTGATTGGAATTTTTACAGATACTCAGCTTTTCAAAACCTTAATTCTTATTCATTTAAGTCTTCAATCTCTATAAATGAAAAAGTTGAGTTACTTTCCACTGCTATGATTAAAGCGGCGAATGTAGCTATTCCAAATAAATATATTAGGATTACTGTGCGTGACAAACCTTGGTTCACAGATGAATTACGAAATATGCGCAGAAAGAAGAATAGATATTTTGCTCAATATAAAAAGAAACAGACCATCGCTAAAAAAATTAAGTACGAGACATCTGCACGTCTTTTTGAAGAAAGTTGTGATATTGCTACGCGTGCAGATTTATTCCTTCTGATACCCTTCCTCTTTCTTCTACTAAATTTGATATTACAGAAAAAATTTGTCCAGGCGAAGTAGAAAGAATATTACGAAAATTAAATGCAAACAAGGCTTGTACCTCAGAAGTTACTGGCAGAATGGTTAACTAAGCTAGTGACGTGATAGATGAGGCGTTAGCAGATATTTGTAATCAATCAATTAGTCAAGGAGAGTTTCGGTCTTCATTTAAAATAGGATGTATTACTCCGCTTTTCAAGGATGGTGAACGTTGGCAGCCGAGTAATTATAGACCTGTTACTTTGCTGCATATATTTTCAAAACCTTTGGAAAGAGTAGTATATTCTCGTTTTTATAATTAATTGATTAAAAATAATCTGTTAACTTCATTACAATCTGGTTTTCGGCATCGTGATTCTACAGTCAAGCAGTTAATTGATTTCGTTCATGCTGTGGAGTTAGGAATGGAAAATCATAAACTAACTAGAGCAATCTTTCTAGACTTTAAAAAAGCTTTTGATTCGGTCTGGCACGCTGGCTTACTCTACAAGCTAAAACAAAAAGGTGTATCACCTAATATGTTAAACTGGTTTTCTTCATATCTTTCTGATAGGTTTATAGAAACACGAGTGAACGGTACCGCTTCCTCTAGGAGAAAGATCAATCGTGGAGTACACCAGGGATCACCATTCACTAGCCAAGGCCTGAAGAAGAATTCTCTTAGTTCCGAAGGTTTCTAGGAAACGTTTCTAGAAAGCAAAGTATTTTCTGTTGGTTTTTTCAATGTTTATTGAGTTTTACTGAGAATTTATTGAACTGTGGATAAAATAGAATGTTTCCTGACATTCGGTAGTGTATTGGATTGATTTTAACTGAATTATGAACTTTTTAATTGTTAATGAAAATAATCGAAAATGGGGTATTTCACCTAGTATAAGTTTTCACTCGGTTGTTGGATTTTGTTCTGAAAACTAACATTGCCACGAGATTCAGCATAGTCGATAACCTATGTTTTCATTCGTTTCTGACAGTTCCAAACCTAACGGCACAGGAGTGCTAAGGCTTCAGGAAAAACATCCATAGCTCCCGAACCATGGATTTCTAAGATATCGCTTAGATCTAGTTCTGTAGAGGATACTTCGGACTATATATCCACGTGAAACAATTCATAGATTTCTATGCCAGCTTTCAGAGAACTGAACTGGTTTTCCACAGATCTCCTGAAAAACCGGTCTTTGAAATTCTTTTCAAATTCGGTTTTGGTTATGAAAACATAGCTTCAGGCCTTGGCTAGTGAATGGTCAAAACCGCAAGCCTCTATCTTTTATTCCTTTTGAGTTATTCAAAAAATAACCACCGGCCTTGTATTTTGGAATGGATAGCAGTCTATAGTGAAAGTTATTTTTTAATGCAAGTGTTTTTTTGCAGCACAAATTGCTGAAACAGCTGACTGAATGACACATTATTCGATTCAGTTTCGGACACTAATCACGAATATGGGCTCGGTTTCGCTTTAAAATACTTTCTTCAAGCCAAAAAATGCAAAATACTGTTCTTAAAATTTAGTGATTTCTATGTGATACCTACTGTCGGTGGCACTAGAGGCCTTCAGTGAGCTTAACGGGGCCCACCGAAATTTTTTCATCTCTTGATAGATCAAGGTTGGAACTACTTATGCACCAAATATTTCCAAAATTCGTCTTATGCCATAGGAGAAAATCGATTTTGAAAACTGGCATTTTCAGCCAAAGTCGCTACTTTCGATGCAGTTTTTATTTGAGCAAAAGCGAATTAGAAGCTCACACGTTCAGGTGTTGTAGTATTCAAGGTCCTCTATCTAATGGTGTTTTCAAAATTTTATGAAAATGTTTCGTTTCGATACAGTATGGCGCCAAAATATGAGTTTAGGACGTACCGGATACAAGTCACTGTATGAGAACGAAATCATTCCCAGAAGTCGGGTTTATTTTAAATCGAAGAAGAATGTTGGTTCTATTTATGTAAAAGGTTTGAGCTCTTTATCTTATATGATTGCCGAGATATGAACAACACAAAGTTGTCAATATGAGAGATGTCGCATTTTTCAACAGTTGGTCGAAATTTTAAAATGCTCATTTCTCATCAACCTAACAATATTTTTTCAAACAAAAAGCGCCATTTTACTCAGAAATGTCTATATTTTCTTTTATGACTGGTTTCAACAACTTCTGTGGGATACGATTGAACAGTGTCGGTCGTGGCTTATATGAAATGGCTCTTAAATGTACGTAATTTGTGTATTGAAACTGTTTTCTATCTACTTCTGTTGATGACTTGCCCACAGCCTAAAAATTCGTAGATCGGACAGGACCTAAGCGGTCAAACCGGCACCCTTCCCTCTCTTTTTCTGTAGTCTTTCTTGCTAAATAAAAGCTCTTTACATACATACGTTTGCTCGTTCATTTAAATATTCCTATTGTGATAAAATTCGTCTCATGCACGATATGCTGTAATCTTATAATAATTGAACGAGAGGAATCAAATGCTGAACTAAATTTTCCAGTTTGTTTTCAATGTTTTCAAACTTTTACATAATTTAAACTTCTCATTTTTCAACTATAGAAAGGTTTTTCGTAAAAGAATTATTTTCATCATGAAGACTGAAGTTTGCTCTTTCTGAAAGGCCTTTTTTTTATTTACAAGATTTAAACAGGCTACGAATGATACAGAAAAGAATTCTACCAATACTTCTTTAGTTTGAAGAATAAGGGTCGGATTATCATAGCGTACTTTAACATAAGAAATTTTAGCTGAGCATCAGCAATTAAACAAGAATCAAGTTTCAAGCCTGACCTTATCCGACGATGACAAGGTTTTCTAGCCCTTTACTGTATGAAGAGAAGGCATTCACAAGAAAAGTTTTATAGAACCACGAACACCTATGATACTTACTTTATATTACCTTACACAGTCAGACGAATACGAAATAAAAAAGAATTTTGTTTTCCGAGTGAAACTTAAGAGTTTTGGAATGGATTCTTTCGAAAACGGTCTAGGCTGTAAAGGCTTCCTCCGGTATTTTGAGAACGCGCAGCTTAGCGCAGGTCTGAACTAACATATTTTTATACCAAAATGTTCCTCGCGAGGCCTGTATCTATGTTGAATGCGCAAAAGTGCGCATAGTTTCCTGGACTGAGATATTGGTTTCCCAAAATCCCTCGGTTTTTGAGATAAACTGACCTTTTCGCACTCAAAAAACATTTTTTCCTACATGATATATATATATTCGGAATCACCGTGAAAAACTGCAAGGATGGTATATAATTCATCTAAATTCTGTCCTTCCGTTCTGAATTCTATAACTTCGTTAGATGTGGGATTCACACGAAGCTAAAAATTCAAAATTTAAGAGAGAAACTGTGGAAGGTCTGAAAAAACTGCTTCTATAGGTTATCGACGATGCTCTATCCAATGGAATGATTTTTCAGTTTAAAAACGTTTTTGAAAGGTTTTCCATAAACCCGGTCTATGGAAAACCCACTGAAAAACTTTGTCGAAACTGGAAAACTATTCCATTGGAAAGAGAATTGTTGAAAACCTATAGAAAGTGGTTCAGATAATTTCAGTCCACTTATAAAGTTAACTTATAAGTTAAACTTACAGCTCACTACGCTATATAGCATTGCTAAATTCCTTGAATTGCTTGATTTTCGTGATTTTCTTCAATTCCTTGAATTCCATGATAGTTTACACTTACAGCGTACTATCGTATGTGTCTTTGTTAAATTTCTAGAACTTATTGAATTCCTTGAATTCCACCATAGTTGAAACCTATAGCTAACCACCTTTTGTGTCTTTATTAAATTCCTTGAATCTCTAGAATTTCTTGAATTGCTTAATTTTATTGAATTCGTTGAATTCCATTATATTGTACACTTGTAGCCCACTAGCTTATGTATCTTTGTTAAATTCCTTGAATTTCTAGAATTTCCTCAAATTCCTTGAATTTCTTGAATTGCCAATTTTTGGATCGTGGTTACTGCTGTCCAGGATCTGTTGAGAACTGATTATTGAAAACAGAGCAGAAAACGAGTTCATACTGTATTGAACACTCTGTTTCGAATCAGGACATTGGAAAAAGTTTCTGAAATCATCCTAAAGCTTTTCTGAAGACCCACAAGTTCGTAAAAGAACAATTTAGTACACCATATTGCACGGAAGAAAGTGTTCCACTGATGTATAATCTGAGGAATAAGTACGTCTGTTGCTCGTTTCTTCTTTACTCAGACAAAGAACGCTGATCTTCTCGAACGCGTAGAACCCATTATGCAAAGAAGTTTCTTTTATTCATTTTTTCTCGAAACAAGACTCTCAATATTTTTCTACTATTAAGATATTGTCTAATAGAGTATCATCTTCGTTTAAACAAGTTCTTTTCGTTTTTTCTTTTGGGTTCCTTCTGGTAAATGCTTCATATATATCAATGAATTCGAGCGTAAGAATAAGCTGTTGTAAACATATGTTAAGTGTGGGATGTGACAAGCCTTTCGAGTGAGAAACTCACGAAAATTTTTGACATTTTTGTTATTGTTGATATTTTTTCAAATTTTATTTTTGAAATACCTCCTTATTCGAATAAGTCAAAACCAAGATCTTGGCAGACAGACTAGTGCAGGCTTAAAGGATTCAACGAAAAGAAGAACTTTGAAATCGGATATTTCGATCGAGCATTAGTAAGGCGAGTCAACAAATGTCTTGCAGTTTCTCGTTATGTGGACGAAAAAAATGAGTGGAAGCAGATACTTCTTTTCACTCAGCCACACTGCAAAGTTATAGATATCTGTAATATCTAGGTAAACTTTATCGTTCATCGCTACGTACCACACCCGGCTGGGATCGATTGTTATTTCAGTACAATCATTTGAGACATTTACACATCGCCTTAAAGGATGAAGACAACGAACTATTCCCGCTTTTTCTTTTTCTGGTCAAATATAAGGAGAAGAAGGGAAAATAAAAAACGAAATAAATTCATCGTTAGTTCACATTCACTATCATGAACATCTTCCTTCTGCAACCAGTTTTTACAATGTATACAAACAAGAATTATTACAAATTCTCACTTTGTACGACCTTCACCATGAAGTCGATTTATTTTGTGGAATAACATCACATTCATCGTCGAAAACGTCGAACGATATTGACGATTCAGCTCAAACTGAACTTGAACAGCTTATAAGACGAGCTCGGGAAGCCTTTTTTCTCTACGTGTATTCGCGTACTGTGGTCACTTGTGTTATCACTTTTTCGTATAATTTTGCTGAACACGGACTTGGTCCGAAACGTTTACCAATAGTACGACTGAACTACATATGTTACATAGAACGTAAGAAATGAGTTAATTTCGATGTATGCGATTGGAGTTTAGAAAAAAGAAAATAAATAATCCTGGAAAGAAGAACCATGTTGCTAGTCACCAAAAAATCCGGCAACATGACACCACTGTCATGTGCCTGTCACCTGGCTTGCTGTATGTCACGTGTATGGGTCATCCATCAGCTCGTCGCATTCTCGTTGTGTATGATATTTCTTCTTTTGTCTGCACGTAGTGGTCTATATTCCATTTTGTTCTAGTAAGCTTTTATTTTCTATATACATTGTACTTCTTCATATCCAGGCTATGTTCTCATTGTTCTCGTATTCTTGTGCATATTTTATCTTTGTTTGGTCACACTAGATTTCTCTTCTTCTCTCTCATCTCTCCACTATATATAAACAGATATTTTCAGTTCAACAGCAGTTAGATCGGTTTCATTTTGTTGTGGTCACACGTTTGTACAATCTTAGGTTTCTCAATAAAAATAGACAAGAAAGCGATTCAATTCATTATCCTTGGAGCATTGGTGATCTAACAACCACTACTAAGCAAAAACAAGATCCTAAAAACGAGAAAAACTTCGAGAAAGATGATGTAGATTAGTATTATGATAAGCCTTAAAAAGGTTCGGCTATATGACATCAAAGACCAGTAATAAGTCGAGCATCTTAAAACCACAATAAAAGCCTTAACATCCTAAAAGAATTCCCGGTACATTAAAGCTAAGAAAAGCTGAAAAGAGCTAAGAAGCTGAAGAAGAAGAACGAAGAGTTCCTGAAATGGTAAAATAGATCAATACTGTTGCGAAAAGTAAAGGGCAGAGTAATAATAGTAAACTGGAACTGGAAAACTTTAAAGTTAAGAGTTAAAAAGTACTTCTACACTCTAAAAAGGTTCAGGAATATGACCAAGGACCAATATACTGAAAAATAATCGTAAAGCCAGGAAAAAAGAGCAGAAGTAAAATGAACCCTAAATATAGTAGAAAATACTTGACCTTATTTTCTTACATAATTCAAAAGCAAAAGAGATATAAGAACAAAACCAGTCCTCTGGATAAAATTAATCAATCTCCCTTAGTTTGTACTATGAAATGGGAATAGAAATTGAGTGACTTTCTTGTTTTTCATTGTTTCCATCCGCACATACATACATGCTTATAAGAAGAAACGCGTGGACTTCTCGATCCAGTAGGATATAGCATAACAAAGATATCACGTTCTTATGTTAATTGAAAAATATACTGGTTTATAATAACTATTGGTTCTGTCGATATCGGTTTTTAGGTGGATACGTAATTATGAGCAATTCTGACTACCGCACTTGAAAAAAAAGCAAACGCTTAGCTTAGCGCTAATAACTGAAACTGATAACCAAATTAACAGAAAAACTTGATTAAAAGAGTGACCAACTGCGGCCGATCGTACATCATCACCGCTTTGGTCAGTTGTACCTAATACATGAGCAGCTGGTGGTCAAGCACTTTTTCGTTGTGATTGTCGTCGTGGTTGTGAAACCAATGCGTACAAATGCAAACAAACTTCACCGCATAGATCATCAAACTCATGCATTTTCTGTCAACTTAAATGACTTTGTTTTTAGAAACAGAATCCACCACTAAAAGAGGCACAGCATCAACGACATTTTGCAAAATAAACTTGAGAAATCAACCTGTTTTCACTTGAATAGTTAAGCTTGAAACTCTAGTACACTGAAGCTCTCTATAACTAAATATCACAGTTGCAATCGATTCTCACTCCTTTTCGCTTGGAAGAAAAAAGATAAAAAGGCGAATGATAAAGCGGAAAAGAAGGAGAACCGATTGACCGGTCTCAGCTCTGATTCAAGCTCCTAAATGCTAATCATTGATGGTTGAGAAACGCTTAGATTTTTGAAGACTGATGTTCAGGGTTTCCTCAACTGTTTTGGAAAGAAATATTGCATCGCGACTTAGATAACGTATATATTTTTTTGTTTCTGTAGTTCCAGATAAATGCGACAGCTTGCTGATTGACACGAACCCCAATAATGCAGGTGGGAAAGAGGATGGATAATATCAAGTTTATTTTTTCTACTTTCTCTTCGTATTACATAAACCAACAAAGGCAATTACACGTAACATGATATAAAAAGTGGATTTGAGTATTGTAATAGTGTCAAGAATTTAAAGATCGCACTGGCTGAAAATATACAAAATGTAAATTCACTACAGAAACGTCAAATCGAAGACATCAGCAGCGTACGAAGTGTAGAGTATACAAGTGATGGCATGATGTTACGAAAGATCAGCGGAATTAGGAAAAGAGTTTTCCGCCAGAAAACCACGTTTTCAGACATGACCCGAAAAAATGCGTCGACTCCAAAAAAGTCCTTCCGTCGCATAGAACGTTAAAGATAACGCTTTTCAGGGTTCCTTGTCTTCCTCGGTCAGAACTAGATCATAATTATTTTTGTGGCCTATTTTGTTTGGTTAATACCTCAAAAATTACATTAGTGATAAATGGGAGAAAAGATAGAAAATCTATTTCTAAGCGGCTTGTATAAATAAATACATAAGTTTAGAGTCTCTGTCTAAACTGTTCCCGTTAATATTTACGGGTCTCCGAAGTTCCTACTCTAAACATCGATTTCATCCGGTACATTGTTGAGTTCTTCGCCGTGTGCACTTATAATTTCATTCTTTGACTTTGGTAGATAGCCCTGGAGTAAACTGACGACGACCCAGGCGAGTAATCCGCCGAGGAACGGTCCGACAATGTAGATCCAGAGACTGTGTCGATTGTCTGTTGAATTGTTAATGATCGATGGACCGAGAGTACGAAACGGATTCATTGAAGACGTTGAGTAGTAGCCGCCGAGCAACGAGTCAAATGCCGCTACGGCGCCAACAGCAATTGCAGCCTGACTACCTATGATATTGGCTTTCGTAGCTGTCTGCAGGATGACGAAGAGAAGACAGAAGGTTAAGAAAATTTCCCACTTGAAACAGCTGGCCACCGTTGTTACGTGCGTATCGACACTGTTCGTTCCCAAAGCAGCGTATGTTCCACCGAACAAGGCGCGTATGATCAGTCCACCGCAGAGTGCACCGATAAACTGAAATAGTAAATAGAACGGCAGCCAAATCCACGGAAAGACGAGACGTGCAGTGAAGGCCATTGTAACGATGGGATTAAAGTGTGCACCGCTCAGACCACCAAGGGAGTAGACTAGAAAAAGAAGTGAGACGCCATTGTTGAATGCCGCACTTTCATTTGAAATGAGACCACGTTTTGATTCTAGACGATCAGCGCCATGTCCAGCTGTGAGTAACATTGTGCCGATGAATTCTGCGAATAATCGTCGAAAAAATTCAGATGTAGCACGCTTGTAATCAATTTCGAAGTCATCATCGTCGTCTTCGTCTTTACTTTTCTGTTTTTTCTTCTCTTCATGTTCAAGACGTTTTGCTTTTTCAACCAACGGTGGTACAACCAAGTAGTGCCATCCTTTCTCCAGATATTTAATGAGATTGTGAAGCCATGTTGGAAGATGAATTGACTTAGAAGATGGCTTGACTTTTGTATTCATCTGCATACCACCGTCATGGAGAGTTTAAAAAAAGAAAACAATGTTACATGGTGTGTTACAGTTG